ACAACCACCACTCAACAACCACAACCACAACTCAACAACCACCACCACCACTCAACCACAACCACTCAACAACAACCACCACAACCACCACTACTCAACAACCATCACTCAACAACCACCACCACCACTCAACCACAACCACCACAACCACCACCACCACTCAACAACAACCACCACCACTCAACAACCACAACCACTCAACAACCACAACCACTCAACAACCACCATCACTCAACCACAACCACCACCACTCAACAACAACCACCACCACTCAACAACCACAACCACCACCACTCAACAACCTCCACAACCACCACTCAACAACCACCACCACTCAACCACCACCACCACCACTCAACAACCACCACCACCACCATCACTCAACAACCACAACAACCACCACTCAACAACCATCACCACTCAACAACAACCACCACCACAACAACCACCACTCAACAACCACAACAACCACCACTCAACAACCACCACCACCACTCAACAACCACAACCACCACTCAACAACCACAACCACCACCACTCAACAACCACAACCACCACCACTCAACAACCACAACCACCACTCAACAACCACCACCACCACCACTCAACAACCACAACCACCACTCAACAACCACCACCACCACTCAACAACCATCACCACTCAACAACAACCACCACCACAACAACCACCACTCAACAACCACAACAACCACCACTCAACAACCACAACAACCACCACTCAACAACCACCACCACCACTCAACAACCACAACCACCACTCAACAACCACAACCACCACCACTCAACAACCACAACCACCACCACTCAACAACCACAACCACCACTCAACAACCACCACCACCACCACTCAACAACCACAACCACCACTCAACAACCATCACCACTCAACAACAACCACCACCACAACAACCACCACTCAACAACCACAACAACCACCACTCAACAACCACAACAACCACCACTCAACAACCACCACCACCACTCAACAACCACAACCACCACTCAACAACCACAACCACCACCACTCAACAACCACAACCACCACCACTCAACAACCACCACCACCATCACTCAACAACCACAACCACCACCACTCAACAACCATCACCACCACCACTCAACAACCACCACCACCACTCAACAACCACAACCACCACCACTCAACAACCACAACCACAACCACCACTCAACAACCACAACCACAACCACCACTCAACAACCACCACCACCACTCAACCACCACCACTCAACAACCACCACCACCACTCAACAACCACAACCACCACCACTCAACAACCACAACCACCACCACTCAACAACCACAACCACCATCACTCAACAACCACAACCACCATCACTCAACAACCACCACCACTCAACAACAACAACCACCACCACTCAACAACCACCACCACCACCACTCAACAACCACCACTCAACAACCACAACCACCACCACTCAACAACCACAACCACAACCACCACTCAACAACCACCACCACCACCACTCAACAACCACCACCACCACTCAACAACCACAACCACCACCACTCAACAACCACAACCACAACCACCACTCAACAACCACCACCACCACTCAACCACCACCGCCACCACCACTCAACAACCACCACCACCACTCAACCACAACCACCACCACTCAACAACCACAACCACAACCACCACTCAACAACCACAACCACTCAACCACCACCACTCAACAACCACCACCAATCAACCACCACCATCACTCAACAACAACCACCACCACTCAACAACCACCACCACTCAACAACCACTCAACAACCACAACCACCATCACTCAACAACCACAACCACTCAACAACCACCATCACTCAACAACCACAACCACCACCACTCAACAACCACAACCACCACCACTCAACAACCACCACCACCACCACTCAACAACCATCACCACTCAACAACAACCACCACCACAACAACCACCACTCAACAACCACCACCACCACTCAACAACCACAACCACCACTCAACAACCACAACCACCACCACTCAACAACCACAACCACCACCACTCAACAACCACAACCACCACCACTCAACAACCACCACCACCACCACTCAACAACCACCACCACCACTCAACAACCACCACCACCACTCAACAACCATCACCACTCAACAACAACCACCACCACAACAACCACCACTCAACAACCACAACAACCACCACTCAACAACCACCACCACCACTCAACAACCACAACCACCACTCAACAACCACAACCACCACCACTCAACAACCACCACCACTCAACAACCACAACCACCACCACTCAACAACCACAACCACCACCACTCAACAACCACAACCACCACCACTCAACAACCACCACCACCACCACTCAACAACCATCACCACTCAACAACAACCACCACCACAACAACCACCACTCAACAACCACCACCACCACTCAACAACCACAACCACCACTCAACAACCACAACCACCACCACTCAACAACCACAACCACCACCACTCAACAACCACAACCACCACCACTCAACAACCACCACCACCACCACTCAACAACCACCACCACCACTCAACAACCACCACCACCACTCAACAACAACCACCACCACAACAACCACCACTCAACAACCACAACAACCACCACTCAACAACCACCACCACCACTCAACAACCACAACCACCACTCAACAACCACAACCACCACCACTCAACAACCACCACCACTCAACAACCACAACCACCACCACTCAACAACCACAACCACCACCACTCAACAACCACAACCACCTCCACTCAACAACCACCACCACCACCACTCAACAACCACCACCACCACTCAACAACCACCACCACCACTCAACAACCATCACCACTCAACAACAACCACCACCACAACAACCACCACTCAACAACCACAACAACCACCACTCAACAACCACCACCACCACTCAACAACCACAACCACCACTCAACAACCACAACCACCACCACTCAACAACCACCACCACTCAACAACCACAACCACCACCACTCAACAACCACAACCACCATCACTCAACAACCACAACCACCATCACTCAACAACCACCACCACTCAACAACAACAACCACCACCACCACTCAACAACCACCACCACCATCACTCAACAACCACAACCACCACCACTCAACAACCATCACCACCACCACTCAACAACCACCACCACCACTCAACAACCACAACCACCACCACTCAACAACCACAACCACAACCACCACTCAACAACCACCACCACCACCACTCAACCACCACCACTCAACAACCACAACCACAACCACCACTCAACAACCACCACCACCACTCAACCACCACCACTCAACAACCACAACAACCACCACTCAACAACCACCACCACCACTCAACCACCACCACTCAACAACCACAACCACCACTCAACAACCACCACCACCACCACCACTCAACAACCACAACCACCACTCAACAACCACCACAACCATCACTCAATAACCACAACCACTCAACAACCACTCAACAACCGCCACACAACCACCACTCAACAACCACAACCACTCAACAACAACAACCACCACTCAACAACAACAACCACCACTCAACAACCACCACCACCACCACCACTCAACAACCACCACCACCACCACCACTCAACAACCACCACCACCACTCAACAACAACAACCACTCAACAACCACTCAACAACCACCACACAACCACCACTCAACAACCACTCAACAACAACAACCACTCAACAACCACCACCACCACTCAACAACCACAACCACCACCACTCAACAACCACAACCACCACCACTCAACAACCACCACCACCACCACTCAACAACCACCACCACTCAACAACAACAACCACTCAACAACCACTCAACAACAACAACCACTCAACAACCACTCAACAACCACAACCACCACCACTCAACAACAACCACCACACAACCACCACTCAACAACCACAACCACCACCACTCAACAACCACAACCACCACCACTCAACAACCACCACCACCACCACTCAACAACCACCACCACCACTCAACAACCACCACCACCACTCAACAACCATCACCACTCAACAACAACCACCACCACAACAACCACCACTCAACAACCACAACAACCACCACTCAACAACCACCACCACCACTCAACAACCACAACCACCACTCAACAACCACAACCACCACCACTCAACAACCACCACCACTCAACAACCACAACCACCACCACTCAACAACCACAACCACCACCACTCAACAACCACAACCACCACCACTCAACAACCACCACCACCACCACTCAACAACCATCACCACTCAACAACAACCACCACCACAACAACCACCACTCAACAACCACCACCACCACTCAACAACCACAACCACCACTCAACAACCACAACCACCACCACTCAACAACCACAACCACCACCACTCAACAACCACAACCACCACCACTCAACAACCACCACCACCACCACTCAACAACCACCACCACCACTCAACAACCACCACCACCACTCAACAACAACCACCACCACAACAACCACCACTCAACAACCACAACAACCACCACTCAACAACCACCACCACCACTCAACAACCACAACCACCACTCAACAACCACAACCACCACCACTCAACAACCACCACCACT